GTTATGATAAAAAAAGGGCATCAATCCACTATGAAAATGGCTCAAGATCCCCAACCCATACTGATATGAATACTCAATCTATCTACGAGAGTCAGCTAAATGTCATTAGAGCTGATTTCCAGATAGACAAGGAATTTCTAAAAGCAGACTTCATGTTAGCTACCAACTCTTCAAAAAGAAACGCCTGCTTTAAAACCTACAAAGATACTGAGCGAAATGAATTAAGGGCTCAGTGGTATTTTCATATGGAAGCTGTAAAAGAAAATATACCATTCTTCGAATGGTTTGAAGAAAATATTTTGCAAATATGTACCTTAGCTCAGAGAAGTTGGAAGACTAGTAGAAGAGGCAATGTATATTCAAAACATCCTCCGTTGGAAGAAGTCAAATTCGACAACTACTACGGGGAAAAGGTCGAAGCCAGTTCTTTCAAAACTATTCTAGAAGGACTAGAAAAGAGTAATCTGACCCTAAAAGATATCAAGAATATCCAGCATCAAAATAATTATTCAAATAAGATTTTATCCACGATCACTCCTCAACTTGAGAGTATTGAGGGAAAAATCTCGAAGAATTCTGGTACTCTACAAGAACAAGCAGGCGGCTCTGATACCAGCGAAACGCTTAATGACTTGAGCCCCTTAAATGTACATAATCTCTGTCATCCTAGCTTAATTTAAAACTACATAATTTACCTACTTTATCTAAATACTTAATTACATAAAAATACTTAATGTACATATAAATGGACAAAATAAGACAATTTATAAATGTCAACCTATACTAACCTATATTAGCATAATACAGGAAAGGAAAAGAAAGTAATGTTCATATTGATGAAAGTGGAAAAAGCAAAATAATAAAGAAACAAAGAAAGATAAAAGATAAGGAATATGTCAGAGACATATTCACCCACAATTTTTTTTTTTACAAATAGTTTAATGACTATTTAGTCCTTTGCAAACCATTATGTCTGTTAGATAAAACCTAAGTTTTTCCTTATTTAGATTCACACGATTTCATTAGTTGATTGAATACCTCCGTTTGACCTTGACAAAAACAAGTCGAATGGATTACCAAAGTTTTAGACGGCAATTTTGTAAGAAGTGGCATAGATTTAGTTGGCCACTCTCCATCCATTTTTTGGATAAGTTATATTTAAATAGGAAATAAGATTTCATAACCTAACCCGAGTACAGTCAATATTTCAGCAATTCTCTCTCTTTGTTATTTTACGCGTTTTATTTTCTTCCAACAACTTTCGGTCAACGTTTTCCTCTCACCGAAAAGAAAAGGATTTCCCTGGCCGATTATCGAAATACAACAATTTCCACCGGGTGGTTGAGAATCTAAAAATGGATTATTGAGATCATAAATTGTGTCTTCCTCTTCTTCTTCAACTATAGAAGGAGAAGATGTTGAACCGACCAATGCGGCTTCTTGAAGAAGCTTCTGAAAATCGGCTTCTGAAGTTGTCTGGGCTAATACAGCAAGTAGCCTAGACTTTGAATTAAGAAACTCGGAGGTCTTCTTCTTGGATAAATCCTGAAGGTGGCCATTCTCAGATAACCATACCTTTACCGCTTTGAGATCCACGTGGGTATAAATGTATTTATCCCACCATTTGATTTTGATAACTTTGAAGACCTAGTTTACTTGGTCTTCAGTTTTTTTTATTTGAAAATTCTAGGTTAAAATCCAAGGAATTTGAAAATATACGCAAAAGCACATGGCTAATGGAAATGGAGTTTTGAATATATTTTGAACGAAGTAGTGGAACGATTCCTATATTGGAACGGGAAATATATCTTTGGTTGATCCAAAGATTTTCCACCATTTGATGAACCAAAATGGGTAATGAATTTCATGAGCATTCTGGCAGAATTGTATAAACCAAGAGTGCTCGTAATTTTGATACCAAATGACATTGAATCATGCCATTTGATAATCTATGTATGAGAAAGAATGAGGAACAAAAGGTTTTGAAAAAGTTTTCTCAGTGTACGGATCTTGATTCTAGTACGTCGGATTCATGACTTTGAAAATTTTTAATTTTGAGTACGCGATTTTTGAAGGATCATCGAGACTCAGAATATGAGTAATTTCGACGGACTTTGTGTGGACCAAAATGAATTCATAAAACCTTCTAGTCTTATGAAGATTTTTCGGGATATAAAAGAATCCCGATGGATAGGCTTTCTTGACGACCTCGCTGATTTTCGGATCGTCATATTCTGGTTCTACTAGAGCTTCTGGTATAGACAAATATTTTTGAAAATAGGTCCTGATTTCAGGAATTGGAGAAAATCAAACGGGAACAACCGCGTCCGAGTAGGTTGAGGGGACAGAAGGTCCCTTTGAAGTGGAAGAGACAGTTGGTCTCGATGGAGTAACGACAGATGGCCTTGTTGAAGAGGCAGAAGGCCTCATTGGAGTGATAACCTCCGCTTGTTTTTTAGAAAGTCTTGCTTTAGACCTGGTAACCAATGTGAAACCAGCATCCACCACATAACTGTCGGACGTCATTGGAGTAGGAGTGTTAGACGAAGAAATGGGCTTCTTCCCTTTTTCCACTGTTTTCTTTCCGGTCATCTTAGGGTGAAGGAGATTGGTTAGGGAGAAGATTTCTTCGAGAGTAAGAATTCTCTTGAGAGGTAGTCCGCCAAGGGGTTTTTGACCCCTTTTATAGGCAATATTTGAAAGTCGAAGCAAGATAAAATTGCTTGCCATCTAGCAATGATTTGTTTAGATACAAGATTCTTTACATCCTTTTCTAAAACAAATTTAGATGCCCTAGAATCTGTTTTGATAACAAAGCTTTTGTTAATTAAATCGCTTTGAAATTTTTGTACACGAAGTACTATTGAAAGTATTTCCTTTTTTTACTGTTGAGTAATTCTTTTGAGTAGAATTCCATATTCCTGGATGAAAACGGACAATGGATTCTTTCTTGTCAAAGGGCTGTTTTAGGATTCCTCCATATTCAATATCGGATGCGTCGGTCTCCACTATTAAACTCGACCTGGGTTTATCAGAGATAAACACGAAATTGATTTGACAAGGGATTTGATTTTTTTGGATTGTTTTGGTGTGTTCTTCAGTCCCGGGCTTGGGATTCTTTTTGAGCCTTTCAAGAAGTGGTTTACAAATGGGTCATATTTTGAAGGAAATCAAACACATAATTGAGACATCCCAAAAATCTTTGGAATTGAGTCTTATCCGTGATTTGGTCCTAAAAATTTGAGGCAAACTCAATGGACCTTTGTATGGGTTTAATTAAACCCAAATGAATTTCAAATCCAAGAAAGCGTATTTTTGTTTGAAAAAGTTTAATTTTTGGTTTAGACACAATTAAACCGTTTCTTTTGACTGTCGTCAAAATTGTTTGAAGATGCTTAAAATGTTGATCGATGTTTTGAGAGAAAATTAGAACATCGTCAATATAAACAATTGAAAAGTCTTGAAAAGGATTGAAAATATCATTCATAATTTTTTGAAATTCGGATGGAGCGTTTTTTAGCCCAAATGGCATAACATTCCATTCGTACTGTCCGAAAGGGACGTTGAAAGCCGTTTTGTACTTGTCTTTTTTCGAAATCTGGATTTGCCAAAATTCTGATTTCATATTAAATTTTGAAAATACTTTGGCATTTGAAATTTTTTGGATTAAATCTAATTTATTTGGAATCGGATATCTAATTCATTCCAAAACCTTATTTAAGGGTTGTAGTTTATTACCTAGGATTAATTCTTATCTTAAGTCCTTTACTAAAAGGAAGGAATTTACGAAGCAAATTCATCTTTACAAACATGGACTTTTGATAATTTGTAATTAATTTTGAGTCTGTTGTTGTTTGCACTTCTAAGGCCCTCATTAGTTTTTTCAAAATACTTTGTAGGTATTAGGCCTTCTTGAATGCAATTTTGATCCGCTCCTGTATCTATGGGAGACTTTAATGTGATTTTGAAATCATAAATTTTTAGGGTAACGAGAGTGTACCATTTTTGATATTGAGAAGTGGTGTGGCTCCAACAAAGGAACTTGGAAAATCATCTTCGTCCAGGTTCGGTTGCGCCGTTTTTCTTTGTTCGGGCAGCCTTTCCTGAAGTTTGAGAATTTCTTGGCGAAGCATATAAGATTCTGACCTGGTTTAAGATCTTAATGTCTGTACTTCTTGTTTGAGATTATTAATCTCTCTTTGTAGGTCTTGAGTAGTGAGTTCTCTCGGTTTTTCAAACCTTTGGAGAACTGATTGGAGTCTGTAGGGGTTTCTTTCCTCCCTTTCTGATGGCTTAGAGATCGTCATTGCGTCCCTAAGTCGTTGAGCAATTTTTTGTTGAATTTTTGGATCTTGAACCTTTTCTACTACCTCGAGTATAATTTCTTGATCCTTTGTAAGGACATTTATGCATCCTTCGGATTCTGGTACTTTGCAAGAACAAGCAGGCAGCTCTGATACTAGCGAAACGCTTAATGACCTGAGCCCCTTAAATGTACATGAGCTCTGTCATTCTAGCTTAATTTAAAACTGCATAATTTACATACTTTATGTAAATATTTAATTACATAAAAATACTTAATGTACATATAAAGTGGACAAGATAAGACAACCTATAAATGGCAAACATGAAAGGAAAAGAAAGTAATTTCCACTTTCATCAATTCGAACGCCTCGGACTTTCCTTTCAGAAAATAAGTTCAAGTTTTTTGTGAGTAATCATCGATAAAGAAAATAAAAAACCTCTTGCCGCTGAAAGATTCGGGGTTAATTGGTCCACATATATCTGGATGGATCAACTCGAAGGGTTGTTTAGCCCAAAGTTCAGAGTGATGCCTTGTCTTCTACATCAACTCTCAAACATGTTTCTCGTATGCTTCTTAAGTTCAATTTGTACATTCGATTTCTTCCTATCTCGACTCGAGCAACCAAACGCTCTTTCTTATCCTTCAGGTGTAGCAGGCGGTCCTTTAGGAATATCGAGTAACCTTTCTCAGTGAGTTACCCCATACTCAATATGTTGGTCTTAAGATCTGGTACGTAATAGACATCTTTGATTGACCCCATCACACCATCCTTTTGCAGGAAGTGTATCGTACCTCGACCTTTGACCTCCACCTTCGACGCATCTCCGAATGACACATGACCATCTTCAATCTTTTGCATTTCTTTGAATAGGTGCTCGTGATCGCACATATGGTTGCTTGCCCCTAAGTCGAGGTACCACAGAATGTCGTTATTGATGTTCTCTTCATCTTGAGCCATCAAGAGAAGACCTTCATCTGTTATGTGTTCCACGGCTAGGTTGGTTGTTCCTTCCACCCTTTTTCCGGCTCGACAAGCTTTTGCAACGTGTCCCTTTCTGCCACAATTGTAACATTTTTCGGAGTTACAATCATTCGCATAATGACCATATTTCTGACATTTAAAGCACTGGATGTGGAATTGTATTTTTGACCGCACCCTTGAATGCGTCCTCTTCCACGTCCATTTGCTTGGCTCGATAGTCTCTTCTCCTTATAATTTTCTTCATAACCATTGCTTTGACCACCTCGACCATTCCAATGGCTTTCACGTTCTCTACCTCAAAAATTTTGTGAGTAGAGTATTTTTCCATCCTTTATTGATGCCTTCGTCTGAAGCACTTGATCGAGTGGCTCCTCCTTTTTTTTCTTACGATGTTCATGTGCCTCGAGAGAGCCGACAAGCTCATCGAGTGTGAACTTCGTCAGGTCCTTTGACTCTTTTATGGCACATATGACATTCTCGAAGTTGTCTGTTAACGACCTCAAGATTTTCTCCACAACTCACGTCTCGGGTAACATTTCTCTTGTTTCAATTTAACTGATTCGCCACAGTCTGTACACGTGTAATGTAGTCAGATACATTTTCTGACTCCTTCATCTTCATGCTCTCCAACTCGCCACGCAGAGTCTGGAGACGCAACTACTTGACTCGGTCAGTTCCTTTGAACACCTTTTCTAGAGTGTCCGACGCTTCTTTTGAAGTAGTTGCCCTTGCAATCTTCTCAAAGCTCGACTCGTCAACAACCCTTAATAGCATGTATAATGCTGCCTTATCCTTTGACCGTAATTCCTTTAGCGCCTTGCTTTGTGCCACCGTATATCTGTGGTATCAATCGGTTCTTCAAAACCGTCTTCGACCACCTCCCATGTGTCTTGCAAACCGAGAAGAGCTTTCATTTGGATGCTCTAATTCTCGTAGTTTGTTTTCGTCAATCGTGGTAGCGGCATTTGTCCCATCATGTTTGGCTCTGATACTAATTTGTAGAAAATAAATTGCTATGATACCAATTTGTAGAAATTGAAAGCCGCTCCGGTACCAACTTGTGAGAAAAAAATGCTTGCTCTGAATCTAACTCGTTTAGATAACTCTCACGAAACTTTAAAGGGGTGTCGAAAGGAGAGAGACACGGAGACAAAGAAATTCTCAAAAAGCTTTTTGTATTACACACTAACTCAGACAAGTTTGATGTGCTGGTTCTTTTCTCTCTCCCTTGTTCTTTTTTCTCTGCTATTACATTGATGAATGAAGCCCTTTTATAAGCTTTCGTAGGCCAAAATTGGCCTTTAACTACCCATCATTTTCTCACCCATTTGCTCCCTTTCAGTAATTTTCTCATCCATTGGCTCTCCTTCCTGAGATAATTATGACTTTTTTACGGAATTAAAACAAACAAAAATTCATAATTACTTTTTTTTTCTCTCCCTCCCACATTTAAATTTATTTCTCAAGAAATTCATCCGCCAATTATCAGAAGACAAAAGGAGGAGGTTTCAAAAAATCCTATCACCTTGCGGCCATTGTGAGAAGAAAGGTCATCCACCATACAAGTGTTGGCCATTGTGAGAAGAAAGGTCATCCACTATACAAGTGTTGAAGAAGACCTAAAGCCAAATGCTCTAAATGCAATCAACTTTCATCTGCAAAGTCAAAGGTCAGGTGATAGAAATAGATGCAAAGGTAATAGATCATGAAGAAGAAGATCAATTGTTTGTGGTCACTTATTTCTCAGGCAAAGAATCAAGCGAGAGTTGGTTTCTTGACAGTGGATGCACAAATCATATGACAAGAAGTTTTTTGAGGAATTAAGAGACACTGAAGTCAAGAGAGGGAGGATTGACAATGGTGAACACACTACAAAAAATAATAGATACGATAGCATACGAAAAATGTTATCGTAGACTTTTTATAGCGTTTTTCGTACGTCGTGACAGCCCATGTTATTAAAAGTCTAAAACTTTTTATAGCGTTTTTTTATAACTATAATAGATGCTATAATAGAGTATAAAATTATAGCTGATATACATTGTTATAAAAGCTTTTCATAGCATTTTATTAAAGTTATAATATGTTAAATATAGCTAAAATATTATGCTATCTTTAATTTATTATAACATTTTTTAATGCTATAATATAGTATTTATAACTTTAATCTTATGCTATAAGAACATTATTTGATCATTTAATTATTTAAATATCATTTCATTAATTATATTTTGATAAAAAAAAATTCATTTCAAAAAATTCATTTCTAGCTAAATCCACACCTCAATTACTTTGTTTCACATTAAATACTATAATTTTCATTCACAATTGAACTTCATCATCTATTTACATTACAAAATGAGTATTCAGTAATTTCATAATATAAAAAAGTTGTTCTAAACAATACAAAATAAATTATTCTCCATTATTTACATTGATGTTCGATTATCTCGGACCGCAATCATGTCATGCCTTTGTATTGCAAGTCTTGTAAGTATTGTACCTCTATATGTGTAGGTCATGGGATCTTTGTTGTGGTATTCTCGTACTTTATAATTCTTTTGTCGTCTCCTTTGCTGTGATATTCAACAAGACGATAAGTAAAAATAACAGAAGCAAAAATCAAAAGTAGGTATGTCAGCACGATACCTGATATAGGAGTCTATACATTCCCTTCACATTCCTTGTGTAGTTTCTAGTTGTAACAACCCAAAATAATGATAAAATGTATTTTGTGTGTATGTGTTGTGTGTTTAATAATAATAATAATAATAATAATAAAAATAAATAAATAAATTAATTAATTAATTAAAAAAAAAAAAACGACGGAAACGAAGCAGCTGCTGTAAAGGAGGAGGAGGGGCGGTGGACGCGTAGCTGGAGGCGTGGGATGGATGAGTGGGTGATTAGGGGATGTGGAAGCGTATTAGAGCCTGATTAGGCTTTAAAAAGGGAAGAAAAACGAAGAATGGAGATGGAGAGAAACCCAGTAAACAGAGGAGGAAATTTTGGAGAATTCGAGTTTTTGGTTGCTTAAAATTGGACATCAATCGAGGGTAAAGGAAGAGGGGTTGTTGCTGAGGAATCTTTTGAGGAAAGGATACGGTCCCGAGCTGAAGCGGACGGTAATTCGAAGGTAACGAAAAAACCCACATCACCGAACCTTTAAATCTCGATATCTTGAGTTATACTGCATAATAAGTTATGAAATAAGGCTGGTTAGAACCGTAGTTAGAAGATCTATAAAGTTGTAGAAGAAATCAGAACGAAATTCGAGCTGTAGAGATGAAATTTTTGCTTCGGGACACAACGGGTATTAAAGGAAAAGATTGGGAAAAATTGCAGGGAGGAGAGGTTGAAGACGAGCGCGTGAAGGACACGCGAGGCGCGTGGGGAGGCTGCGAGTGGATGTGCGACTGTACGCGGATCAGGCGCGTGAGAAAACAAACCTCCGACCTTGTGTTGGCGCGTGAGGGCGCGTGAGAAGGTATTTTGGCTCCCGGTTTGTCCCGTTCGACTCCTTTTGACCTGTCCTACCAAAATTGGTCTATATTTATGGTGAAATTGATAAAATATAGGTCTAATAGGAAGGAATTGTGTTGAAGTACTATTAAACGTACATTCAAGGGGGAAAAAGGAGTTCGAAACCAAGTAAGTAGCGTATCGACCTTTGAACTCGTTCTTAACTTGTTTTACAACATGTGAGTATGTTGTTTACCTGATTAAGAGCTTAATAAGTTATGATGAACTTTGATGATATTTAGTGTTTATTGTATATTGTGACTGCTTGCCTGTGATGTAAGCGTGATATAAATGATTTTCAGAATGTTCTACGTGTTGATCATGATATATGTATGGAAGCATGCAGTAACTGTGAGTATGTTATGCATGTTAATGGAAAGGTTATGACTCTAGATATGCTTATTGGTGGATGAGCTATGGCTTATTTATATGAGTATGATAGTCTACTAATTCCCGCGGGGTTCCTAGCCAACGCGCTGTGTGCTAAGTCAGGGAGCAGGAGTACTCCTGACCGTTGGTATATGAGATAAACAGGCCGCCAGAGCAATTAGTAGACGGGCCGTATTTGACCGAGAGCGAGTCTTACATACGAGTCCGAAAATTCTAGATAAGCATATCGAGAGAGAGTCAGTAACCTAGCTGGAGGTAGCTGAGATACCTCATTAACGAACAGATGACCCTAGTAAGAGAACTAGGAGTCAGTGATGAATAAAACGTAAAAACACCTGGAAAGATTAGTTATGAACCTGTGAATGATAAACTAGCTACTTACTGAGTAATCTAATTACTCATCAGAATTATTATAACTTTTCTTTCCAGACGTAGATGCTGCAGGTCAGCCGAGGACGAGACCAGCGGGCTAGAGACTACTGGGAATCCATGTCTGGGTCTGTTCTGTAATTATGTTTCCGTTGTCAAGAATTTACCTTAGTCGTTTTAAGTTTTTTGTAAAGTACTGTTTTTCTTTTATAGAAATACTTTACTGGATGTTTTCAGAAATATTTTTAATTTTATGATTGGGTATCAGAGTCTCTTAATATTGTCGATAGTAACTCCTGTTAATCGCGTTGGCGATGAGCGGGTGTTACAAGTTGGTATCAGAGCCTAGGTTATAGGTTCTGTAGACAGTCTAGAATAGACAGTATGGATTTCCTTTAGTCCAGCTCAGCGGTATCTCGCCTCGGTTAGGTAAGTGATGTATGATTAAGTTGTATGAAAAAAAAAAAAAAGTATGAAAATTTTAAAGGAATTGATGATGACCACTTAATTATGTATGTGACAGATATGGACGTATTTAAGAATTTAGACCCTGGTACATCCAATGTGGACTTGGGAAATGAGGGGCAGCCTGTAGAGGAAATTGCTCCAGCAGAGGCGGTTCCGGAGCCTGCTGCTCAGTCGGCATCCAGAGATCAGCCGACTGTTGTGATTACTTTGGAAGCATTACAATCATTGATTGAGAGTCGAGTAGATCAGGCAATGCAGAGCCGGGTGGATCAAGCGGTTCAGGCAGCCCTTGTTGGTCTTGGAAGCCAGGCGGCTCCAACAGTACCTGTATCGGGCCAGACGACATTGGTGTCTGAAGCACCAGGAGTAGGTGTTCAGACAGTAATACCTCCAACACGGTTGACAGAGCTACCTGGTACAGCTGTGGTGACAGAGGCACCATCGCGGGTAGTAACTTATGGCCGACGATGTATGACAGAAGAGAGTGAGTACATACGAGATTTCATGAAACTTGGCCCGCCAACTTTTGGAGGAAAGGGGACTGATCCGGAGGCAGCTGAATGGTGGTTGGAATGTGTTGAAACAAAATTTACATTCTACAACTGCCCAGAGAATCATAAAGTGTTGTGTGCTACGTATTTGTTGGAGGGGCCAGCCCATTTTTGGTGGAAATCAAAGAAGCCGAAGATGGAGGCTGGTGGAGCCCCAATCACATGGGCGGCCTTTAGACATGAGTTTTGTGAGAAGTATTATCCTGCTCTAGCGAGATTGCGAAACCGAAAAGCATTTATGCAATTGGAACAGGGTAATAGGTCAGTAGAGGAGTATGAGGCGGAATTCACACGATTATCTAGATTTGTTCCTCTTATGGTTGCTACTGAGGAAGAGAAGACGGATCTCTTTATTCAGGGTTTGAGGCAAGAGATACAGGGATCCGTGTCTGCCTATGCTTCTCAAGATTTTGTTACGGCTTATAATGCTGCGGTCAAGTTAGATGCTAGCACCCCGAGGAATAATCAGGGTTC